TTCTTTATGAAATCTTCGAATATCTCGATGATTATCAAGTCTATCGAACATTCTCTCGACTCAACTATCGATTTCATACTCTTCTTCTTCATTCGATTCTTCCGATCTATATCGATCTCTCGTCGATGTCTCGATCGTCATTCGGTGTTTATCGACATGAAAGGATTCTTTCAAACATCACTCGAATTCGTTCTCTTCGTCTGTCCAATCCATTCGTTCTCGATCGATGTGTTTTGCCCCTATACTCGGCCATCCATTTGCGTACACTTATCTTGGAAAACATCGAATGGGCCGATTTGACGAATCTTGCTTCGCAATTCCATTCACTCGTCAATCTCCACTCATTAAGCCTAACGACTCTCGATTCATTGGACAGACATAATCCGATCCTTGAGTGCATCTTCCGCTTACCCCAATTGAAAGCTTGTCGGCTATCATTTGGCAACACATACGATGCGATAATCTTTTCACTAACCACCGATCAATCCAGTCCTATTGAACACATCACCATCGAAAACTTATTAGACTTAAATCGGCTCTGTTCTCTTCTCTCCTACTTGCCTCATCTTCGACGTCTCTCGGTGAATATCTCACAAACAAGCTATTACTCCCTTCGACACAAGTTCTCTTGGTTTGGACACGCTCTCAAGCATTTGACACATCTCTCTCTGAACTTGTGTACCGTTTCGTTTGACGATTTAGAACAACTGTTCATCCACGCCTTCTCCTCAATTGAAGTTTTGCAGCTCAATGGAGATCGAAAATATTTGCATGCGAGTCGTTGGCAACGTCTAATCTCCTCGCATTTGATTAACCTACGCGTTTTTGATCTTTCTCTCGAGCTTTTTGAATTCAATGCTATGGCCAAGCCAGCAATATCGGATGAAGTCGAACAATTCTCAACGTCGTTCTAGATCGAACGTCAATGGTCATTCGAGTGTCGACCAACACGTGGTTGGCTCGATGATGACGATGTCTTCTATTCTGTGAATCCATACAGGTAATGGAAGAATAGACGACAAAAGCGTTTCATTTGGATTTTCTAGAAGGAAGATCCACCATGTGTGCGAAAGCAGTTCGGTAGCCGATCCACAGACGAATCTCAATTCGGTAAAATCTGTTCATATTGTTAACATAGGTCAAATCAACGAATGTTGGTATTCTTTTCCACGTGCGACGGAACTGATAATCGGATGGGATATCCCAGCGGCGGAAATATCTGTTCACAATCTCTCTTGTCTCATTCCTTTGCATCGGTTGGAAATTCTCAACATTGAATGTGAGCTTTCGACGCTCGTCGAACTGCTACTGAAGATGCCCAATCTGACCACATTGCACCTTTACTCAATGGCTCTTTATCAACCGAATCGTCAACTGATCGAACAGAATGAACTCTTTCGAATGATCGCCAAGACAAACTCGATACCGAAGATTATCTTTCAAGGGAAATGTAGTGTAGAGAAAGCGCAACTACTCATCGCTCTCTTTCCTCAAATGCAATATCTTCATATTTGGTCCGACGTTTGCGATGCGGAGACGATCTTACGCTTTCTCTTGGATAAATCCAATTCGAACAGCAATCATCTGCATTCGATATGTTTCGCGGATGGATATGAACCCTTTTTTCAACATTTGAAGTCTCTCATCCTATCGGGAACATTGCCTCGCCGTTGCGTCGCCAAACAACTCGGTTCGAACACCTATTTGTGGTGGTAACAACTCACAAAGAACGATGTCGATTTCGAATAAACAACAATCAGCAATGAGAAGGACTTGAGTTGACTGACATGTGCGAAACACCTTCAGCATTGTTCTTTCATTCTCATTTGATGGGAATTTCGTCTCAACGAATGAAGCTCTTTTCTTTCACAGTTTAGCGTTTCTGTTTGACAACCATCTTCAGAGTGTGGGTGTCTCTTCGTCTTCGACACTCACACCCACATTCACCCACACCCTCACTAGATACACCGTTTTCTCAAGCTTGAGATCATATAATAGGACAAATCGTTGATGTGAATTCTGTATGTTAGTCTAAATACAATGATTGAATCGAAGTTTTGTTAGCCAATAGGAGTTGATAGATAACTCTTATAAAAGCCAGATCAGCGTGAACAATCTTTATATTGAGAGAAGAAGCAAAATTTCGATTTTACATCACAATCGATACAGTACCCATTCAACGAAAAATAGTGAAACGAACTACTTTAGCAGTGCGAGATCATCATTACTCTCATTTTCATTATTCCCACATGACAACATTCGAATGCAATTTCTTTTACAGAGGATGTGGGTGAGGATATGGATGTAAATGAGTTTTGATCTGTTCTTCACCCACCCTTTCTTCTCTTTTTCTTTTTGAGTCAAAAATGTAATCATATATTACATTTTTACCTTCTTTTTCTTTTTGGTATATATACTATTCATTTCTTCGATAAGGATACGTGTTCCTTGTATTAAATAAAATCTATGAGATATACTCATATACAATTTAATTCTTTCTCTCATAGCCCCACAGACAGGCTAACATCATGGTTGAAATCTCATTACGGATAGATATTTTCCAGCGAAAATGAGCGCCGTATTAAGAAGCTTCTTTTTTCGATCAACGCTTTTCGACACACTACGATATGTAATGTTAAAATGTCGACGTTGCTGTTCAGACAGTCGTAAGTTAAATACCAAGTTTTATGAGTTTTTCTCATTTTCTTACTATGAAATGCCTATCACTTGGTGAATGTATGCTTACAGTATCAATTCGCTTTTCGTGCTCTGTTTTCAACCCGTTTATCATCTTGTAGAACCTTCATAGGAACATCAGGTAGCAAAACTATCGAAACTTAACTTTAAATGATGACTGATCTTCGCCACAGGTTTCAGTTTTTTGATGAGTTGAACGGTATCTCTAAGAGTTCTTCATCGGCTAAAATCTCTTTCTCTATGCCAGTTAGTTTTGACTAGTTCCATTGCTTTCTACACTTTTTTTTCTTTCTTTCTTTCTCTTCTTTTCTTCTTGCACACGTTGAAACGTTGAAAAGGAAGTTATTAAAAGAGTTCTTTTTTTTATATACCTTAAAAACTCACTCTCATCATATTTTCTTCCACCCCGTTGCTTATATATAATTGTCTTTTCTTATTTTCATTTTCTTAGAATACTTTCTCTCTCGTCCGCTTCACACTGCGTGTGCGCGTTGCTGTGTTCGTTAAAAATATTATAAGAGTTCTCTTATCATCTGCCCAGTAAAATGCATCTCATTCTCATTAGGTTTTCCTTATAGAAGAACACTGAGTCGCATTACCTTTTCCATTACTTATTTTTTCTTTTCAAATTATAACAAAAACATTATCTAAACAACAAACACGTACGTTTTCGCTGCATTATTCTGGCTCTTAAGCAATGTCGTACCAAAGTGAAAGAATTTGTAACTGAGCTTGTTGAGGGCGTTGAATATTTATTCCTCGACGATGTTCACGA